TATATTAAAATGTAAAGAAAATATGAAAAGCTCTTAATCATATTATTTTTTTAAATGTTTTGTTAATTGAAATAATGCATATAATTAGAAATGTTGCATTGACAACTTTGGAAATAAAAGTAAAGTGCTAAAATTTCAAAAACTAAAATAAATTAAGGCTAAATAGGAAAAAACTCATTTAAGGTTATAAAATATTAAAATATTAGAAATGCTGCCTTGAAGTATCACTAAAATTACTAAAACTGAAATAAAAAAAAAAAGCTAAATAGAAATAGTAAGAACAAAAAAAAAATAATAATAAAAATGACAAAAGCTCATAGCAACTTGCTGAAACTTACACTACATTTAACTTGTAAACTGAAAACATCTAAATGAAAGCTAATTCAAAATATGAATAAATACTATTATAGTATATAAGTAATACTAAAATAACACGGCTGAGCAGTATTTACTGTACGTGTAAATGCATTACATGATAGAGTCCATGTGTGAAATACTGTTGAAATATGATGCTGCTGTGTGACTCTGATAGCAGCCAGAAGTAACAATAAGGATCATGTAATTACTTATTTCAAGAGGTTTTTTTTAGTGCTGGATTGATCTGCAGTGCAATTTTCCTTCATGGTTGATGTGTACCATGAGCCCTTTGACTCTAGACCTGTTTGTAATTAGATCTTTTTTCACACATCCTCAACAAGAAAAAAAAAATCCAAATTATTGGCTGTTGAAATGCATTTGTAAATATAATCAGCTGAAATCCTCTTGTCTAACAGGATCTGAACAGGACCGGGAACGACGCGTACAGCTTCGAACCTCTTCAGCCTGTTATCTACGCCACAGCCATCGTCCTGCTGCTCTGCCTGCTGTCAGTCATAGTCAGCTACATCTACCACCACAAGTAAGTGCTGGAGCTTGTGATGAAAAATGCAGTTTATTTTTAAAGGGACAGTTCACCCAAAAAATGAAAATTGGTTTGTCTGTTAATTTACTCGCTCTCAGTCCATCCAGGATGTAAGACGCAAGTATTTTTTTTCTTTAGTAAAAAACTAAAGAAGATTTCTAGCTGAAACCGTGGTCCTTGGTGATTCATAAATGTAAGTCAATGGCTACCGTCATTTTGAGAGCCAAAAAAAACCCACAGCAGCTGAAACAAAATGAATACCCGTGGCTCCTGACGATATATTGGGTTCTTATGAAGCAAAACAATTGGTTTTGCAAGAAACTGAATATTATTTACAACATTATTACCAGTAATGCAGTAGCAGGTTTTTATTAGTGTTAAGTAAAATATTCACGTTACAAATCATTATTGGGTGCTTTAATAATATAACTGCCTATAGGTGACATCATATGTAAATTAACAGGTGAATTGGTTATTTGAACCTGTTCATTGCAACGAACTGTCCAAAAGATTCATTTTGCTGAAAAGACTTCTCCATTTGTCTGAAGCTATGGATTACATCTAATAATTAGGGATGCACCGAATTGAAAATTCTTGGCTGAAGCCGAACAAAATGAAACACTGGGCCGAATTCCGAACACGGTTTTTCACGTTTTTTCCCCCATTTTGCCAATTTTTTCACCATTGCATAAATTAAATAGCCAAAATGTGCTTTTTACTGTTTTGTCTTGCTTTTCAAAGAAAAAAATAATTTACAAAACGACAATTTAAAAATATTTACTTAACACAGAACATTTTTTAGCATTCTAGCAGACATTATACCAATAAAACACAACTTAACTTAAAATTAATAAGTTAGTAAAAATAATATTTTTTGGCCATTTTTTAGACCCCCTTCTTGAATCAGGCATGTATTTTTGCCTTACAAATAAATGCAGCCTTGCTGAGCAGAAGAGACTTTTAAATCATTAGAAAATATTATAGATCCTAGTCTGAACACTATGTGTGAATGTTACAATAAATGTTTAATAGAGCTGTTGTAATTATTATTTTCGTTTTGTATTTTATTTTACAGTGCAACAGTAAAATTACAATAATAACATTTATTAATGTTGACTGAGTTCTTGCTTTTTCTCAACTTTTATTTTGGCAGAAACCCGCAGGAAGACCTCAGTGCTTCTTTTTATTGACAAATGACTCCAGTGTTGCCAATTTAGCGACTTTGTCGCTAGATTTAGCGACTTTTCAGACCCCTTGGCGACTTGTTTTCCAAAAAAGCGACTAGCGACCAATCTAGCGACTTCTTGGACAAATCTTAGCGAGTCTCTGTGATCGCTGGTACTGACACAATGGCGTCTGCTCTGTACAGCGAGCGGCTGAGAGGAGCAGCGGCTTAAATTAAAATAGATATTATGTTGCTTCTCTAATTTTACATGCAAATATCTGAATGACTCATTACGAATTTGGGAAGACGTTTGTTGCACGTATCGCATTGTCACATGCCTTGTAAAAATTCATAAAAATGTTACTGAGCAGCTGACGAGTAACACGGTTTCAGCGCAGATTTCCCTCTCGCTTTGGACTTTGAATCCTACCGCCGCGAGCTCATGCAGCGATGTTTGAACACATGCAATTCCTGCGTGTATTAGAAAACATAACATTCTGCAGTTTATTTAATTGTTTAAGGGCATTTCGCAATTTTAATCATCATACAGTAACCAGCAACAACCACCCTTCCTCTTCTCATCGAAGACCTAAACAGTCTCTCGCTGTCGGTGCTTGTAATGATTTTTGCATCTTTCTCGGACAGCTGTTTCCACACTGCCGTCATGTTTGCTGCATTAGCGTGCGCCTCTATTTGATCGCGTCACGTCATTGTTCGGTACAATTTATTCGGTCTTTTCGCTTATTCACCGAAACCGAAAGAGCTTTTTTTGCTATTTTCGGCCGAATAATTCCGGTTGCCGAACATTCGGTGCATCCTTACCAATAATGTTGTAAATAATATTAAGTTTCTTGCACAGACCGATCGTTTTGATTCACAAGACCTTAAAAGAGTAGTCAACATTTGAGGTGGACCAAAAAGTTGTCCAAAGACAAGAACGCGTTTTAGGTTTTAGGACAACTTTGGTTTTGATCCACTTCAAATGTTTACTAGTGTGTATCGTCAGGAGCCACGGGTATTAATTTTGTGTTGCCTGCTTTTTGACTGCCAAAGTGACGGTAGCCATTGACTTGCATTTTATGAATCACTAAGGACCACGATTTCAGTTCAAAAAAATCTTCTTTACTGTTTTACTGAAGAAAAACGAGTCACCTAATGTACATCTTGGATGACCTGAGGGTGAGTAAATTAACAGCAAATTGTCATTTTTTTGGTGACCTATCCCTTTAAGCTGTGAACATGCTGGTTTTAATGCGATATTTCATGTGTTCGCAGGTCGGTGCGTGTGAGTAAGAAGTGCTGGCACATGCTGGTTAACCTGTGCTCACATATGCTCCTCACCTGTGCTGTGTTTGTGGGCGGCATCAACCAAACGTACAGTGCAAGTGTTTGTCAAGCGGTATGTGCATGCTTTTCTGTGTATATACAGAGTTTGGGTGACAATATTTAATAATTTTCATAAATGTTTCTCAGTTCATAGGCAGAACTGCTGTCAAGTTCACATGACTATTTTGAGAATATTAGCATATTTGTTGTCCCTCTTATGTTTTCTAATGTCATGTCCTGAAGGTGGGGATTGTGTTGCATTACTCTACACTGGCTACAGCATTGTGGTCCGGCGTAACGGCACGCAACATCTACAAACAGGTGACGCGGAAGGCCAAACGCTACGAGGAGCTGGACGAGCCTCCGCCTCCACCCAGACCTATGCTGAGGTAATGAATGAATCAAAGTAATGAATGAGAAGGAAAAAATATTGTGCAAAAATGAACAAATGTACAAATAAGTAGAATAGATCATATTATAGCAATAAATGATTAATCATTTGTATGAATAATATGTGAATCTGTATATATCGATATGTGAGCAAGCACACATGCTGTGATCTATTTTAGGGACCATTAATTTGACACTTAAATTGCTCAAAAGGCAAGTTTAAATTAATTTCTCCTGCTGACCACTTGGTGTCAGTAAATATGTAACAGAAATAGGGCTGTTTTTGGTAAATTCTCCATGAATTTTAGAATGATGTGCCTTATAGGGATAGTTCACCTAAAAATACAATTCTGTCATTTACTCACCCTCATGTCATCCCAAAACTGACGTTTTTCTTCTGTGGAACACAAAAAAAGATTTTGGTAACCAAAGAGTTTTAGTGAGTTTCACTTTCTATTCTATTTTAATTCTACTTTATCTATTTATCTTCTTTTTTATAAAAAAAACCACTAGCTTTCTATTTTTTCTATTCTATCTTCTATCTACTTGTTTTTCTTTGTGTGTGTGTGTGTGTGTGTGTGTGTGTGTTGTGTGTGTGTGTGTGTGTGTGTATATATATATATATATATACTGTATATATATTATTTTTATTTTTATTTTTTTTATATTGGTAACCAAAGAGTTTGTGACCATTGTGTCTATAGTATGGACAACATAAAATCACAGAGACATGTCTCAAAATCTTTTTATGAAAGTAAGTCACACAGGATGAGTGAATTATGACTAGTGTTGTTTTAGTATTATTTGTGTAGTATTATAGTATCCAGCCTCATAACTATCTTAGGACACAGAAACACTAGTATTTACAGGATAGTCATGGGTAATCAGTTGACCTCATTTATACAGCATTTATTAATATTTTAAATTTTTTTTATTTTGATTTTAGTTTAAATTTGTACATTTGTCATTTTATACTATATAATAATATTAATGTATAATATTTCTATTTAACTTTTATTTTGTAATTTTTAATAATTTTAGTGCTTAAAATGATTTTGAGTTAGTTGCCAAGGCAACATTTCTAATTTTCTATTTTCTTAAGTTTTTCATTTAATATTTGTATTTTATTTTAGTTTAAGCTCTGTCAATTATTGCAAATTATTTTTAATAGATTTAGTTCCCAGTAACAACACTGGTGATGACAGAATTTGATTTGATTTTTTTTTTGTGAAATATCCCTTTAAGTCTGGAATACGCAACATAACTTTTGCCCAAATTTTTGCAATGATTTGCAGTCTGGATAGTGGTTATACATCGACACTAGTTGCCAAAGTCAGAGCCAGTGTATGAAACCTAGTGTTTTAAAATATGTTCAGATCTTATAAAGTCATAGTGTATTCCAGCATTAATGCTCTAACATGAGGATATATATAATGCCTTACTAAGTTTAGTAACTGTTGTTTTTTTCTTCTACAGATTCTACTTAATAGGTGGAGGCATACCGATCATTGTGTGTGGAATAACAGCTGCAGCTAACATCAAAAACTACGGCAGTCAAGTCAATGCACCTTAGTAAGTATTTGAGTTTAAGGTGCTTTTTAACTATCCCTTTCAATAAAATTCAAGCTAGAGGACTTTAATATATATAGGAAGAGTTCATTTGCAAAAACCGATAACTCCATTTAAAAAAAAATTTCAGAAATCATGTTTTTTTATTGTGCATTCCAAGTAATATCAATCAAACTGTAGTTGGGTTGTTTTGATTAAGTAATAATAACTTAAACAAATACAGGTCATTTACAAAATTAAAGTTCATTGAAAGTATGGTTTTTTTACATATTAAAGGTTTGTTGTATAGCAAAAGCAGATAACTCCACATTTCATGTTTTAGAGTTTAAAAAAACACTGGTTTAATCTTTGAAATCTCCTCAGATGACAATGTAGACGCCTGACAAACGTTGCTGTTGTGATCATAAACTGTTTGGATGTGATTACACGCAATAAACGGAGCATTTCCCTCACCGTTGTAACGTGCTGCTTTTGCAAGCTTCCGTGAAAACGTTTCAGCTTTTATTTTCCTTTTTTGCCCCGAAGAAGATATCACAGGTTCATCAAGTTCGTCGAAATTATCCATCCTCGATCACTTTTAGTCAGCTTTGACGAAACTCCTCTCAGCTAGCACGTCTTTTCTAAGTGAAAGTAGCCTTGTCACCTGACCTGAATACAGCGCGCTGATTCGCTAATATGGATTTATCGGCTTCTGTTCAAAAACAGCAAGGGTGCTTGTCAGCTTCTGCAGTAAAACGTGAACTCACGATGCCTTGAAAGTGGACAAAACCGGCTTTTTTGACAAAATGTGTTTTGGGTTCAGACCGCGCTATATGTGGAGAATAATGCACGGCAATCAGCTCATTTTTTATTTAAGTGGCGTTCATCGGTTTTTGCAAATTAACTCTTCATATATATATATGATTGTAATTTACAGATTTTGTGTAATCAGTTAGACTTTTGTGTTTGGATCCATGTAAACTATTTGAGACAAAATGCAATGGTGTATATGTTTCCTTAACTTCGTTGCTGTTAACGACAGACTGTAGAGATCCAGCCTGTATCTGCCTCAAGGCGCTTTTCAAATCCCCTGCGAACACTTCCTGTCATTTCTCTGTCATGAGAAATTGCTTCTGCTATCACTGGAGCCTAATGCCCATGCTCTGTAAAGTGCAGAATAATGCTTTATAAAGGAGAGAGTAGTTTAGACCTTCTGAAGCTGTGTGAACCTAATTATGGTGCTCTATTTTTGGCTCCCCACCTTGTGTGTGTTGGTTTCCCATGCTCCCTTCTTTCACTTGTGACAGCTGTTTGGATTGTGTAACAGCGTGGTTTAATTAGAAAATCCAGACCATCTGAGATCTTTGGGGTTTAATTAATCTCACGCTACCGTGACAAAAGAAAAACCGCTCTGCTGAGCATCACAGAACTCAGAAGTGCCTCATAAGTGTTTTACTTTTCTGATAAGATGAAGCCCTTGATAGCACTAGTGTAAACTTTAGAATTTATGTATACTTAATGTAAAAACTACTTTTTGGAGAGCGGACCTGCAGTGAGTGACAGCTGCGGTGATTTATAACGGGATGGAAGTCTTCTCGCGCCGTTCTGTGTATATTTTATGCACAATTTAAATTTCTTTTTGTTTTTTTAATGCTGCCAAGAAGGACAATGTGACATTGATTTACTGAAGTATAAAACAGCAATATAAAGTAGTTCTCAGGAAAAAAAGTTCTCAGCTAGTTTTAGATGTGTAGACTTAAAGTCTTAAAGTATACATACTGACATACCAGCACAACATCAGTATTATATTATCAATTCTATTGATCAACATTAAAAACATTAAAATCTTATGTAGTTATGTAGTTTAATAGTTTCTTCTTCTTACTATTATTATTATTATTATTATTATTATTGCAATAGATACAAATTTTGAGGCTGATATGGCATAAAATAAATATTAATGTAATTATTGTTATTGCTCTCAATATAATCTTTGATGCTGATTGGACAAAAAATAATAATTCCATAATTAATAATTATCACTATTATAATATGATTGGAAATAATCAACCGTTTTGATTTTTTGTTATAATTGAACAGCCCTAGATAAATGTGTTTATGAATGTTTAATGTGAACACTTAGAACAGTGTATTATTATTTTTATTATTGCCATATATACAGTATTTGCTGATATGGCAATACAATTTTTTTAATTAATCTGCATTTATAGTCATGTTAATGCTTTATTTTAACATGCCTTTTTTACATGTTTTATAGGTATTTGATATAGTAATAACAGTAAATAATGTATAATTACAAGCAACTAACTAAAAATAACCCTAAACTTATAGTAAGCACATGTTGCTAATTAATTTTACTTATTGTTATAGTGTAATTACACTAAGTATTGGCAGATTAAAATAAAGGGTGACCATAATCATCGTTATACTATGGGAAGCAATCAACCATTACAATTTGTGTTGTAATCAAATGGCCTTATCTGAATGTATTTATGAAGGCATTTTTATTTTTTTTGAGTGTTAAACAGCAATATAAGCATTCAATTCAGAATGAGCTTGCAGTTGTCATAAGAAAGGGGAAGGTTAAAATTGACTGAATTTTTGGAGAGGTCCAGCATACATCACTAGAGAGAAGTCTGTATTTTCACTGGACTATCAAGTTATGATATTTTGATTAACAACTACGAAGTCAGCAAAATTGTTGTAACACAAACACAAATGAACGGCTCACTTAAGAACAATAACATGCATTTAGAAAGTAAATAGGGTGAAGTTTAATTTCTATAGACTTTAAAAAGCATCTCTTGTCTTTCGGCAGCTGCTGGATGGCATGGGAACCCAGTCTTGGTGCGTTTTACGGCCCGGCAGCCTTCATCGTTTTCGTGGACTGCATGTACTTCCTCAGCATTCTCATTCAGCTCCGCCGGCACCCCGAGCGCCGCTTCGAGCTCAAGGAACAGTCTGAGGAGCAGCAGCACCTTTCTGTGGCCGAAGCGACCGAAATCACACCGGCCCTCCTGGAGTCCTCGTCTGCAGCCGCTGATCAACCAGTCCCGATGTCGGCTCTGGAGAACGAGCATACTTTTGTGGCCCAGCTCATCGGCGTGGCAGGGTCTCTTGTGCTTTATGTCGCTCTGTGGGTGTTTGGCGCTCTTGCGGTGTCCCAAGAGCATCCGGCAGATTTGGCGTTCGCCTGCCTCTTCGGCGCCGCTGCTTTGGCTCTCGGGGCGTTTCTTGTGGCGCACCACTGCGTGAACCATCAGGACATGCGGCGCCATTGGTCACGAGCTTGTTGCCTGGTTCGCCGCAACTACGCCATACAGATCGATTCCCTGCTTTTGCCAGTCGCGGGAGCCGGAGGCTCTGTCTTGACGGCAAGAGGAAACGGCGAAACTGCAAAGTGTCCAGCCAGCAGCGCCGAATCCTCGTGCACCAATAAGAGTGCGCCGAGCGTCCGTAACTCCACCCAAGGCTGTAAACTGACCAATCTGCAAGTGGAAGCGGCTCAATGCAAAGCGGCCCCTTCTACGGCCAATGGGACGGCGTTATTGGACAACAGCTTGACTGAACATTCAGTCGACAATGAGATTAAGATGCACGTCGCACCAATCGAGGTTCAATATCGGCCCAATTCGGTCAACAACAACAATCTTCAAGGAACAGGCAACGCAAACATCAACGGGCATTCGGGGCGACACCACAAGAACCGTACGAGAGCGCATCGGGCCAGTAGGCTCACGGTTTTGCGCGAGTACTCATACGACGTCCCCACCAGCGTGGAGAGCAGCGTGCAAAGCATCCCGCACAAGCGCCACCATCATCACGAGAGCCTGCAGGTCCGTAACAGTCGACGGGCGGCGTATTTCCGCCGCTTGCGGCATCTCGCCAAAGGTGGAGGCGTCCGCCCGGGTAACAGTTTTGGGCACGGGCTCAGCAACAACGTGGGGAACGGCGTCAGTAATGGAGGCTTAGTCGGAGGAGGGGACGGATCGGGGACCGACGTCACCAGCCAAACTAGAGACTGTCCAAAAAAGCCCCTCGCTGTTGAACTGGAGGTGCAGCCCAAGTCTTACGGGTTGAACCTAGCGTGCCAAAACGGACCTGCCAAAGACTCCGAGATGCTACAGAATTTGTCGCCCCTGAACGTGGAGAGTTCTGGAAATATCAAGACTGGCTTGTGGAAGCATGAAACTGCTGTGTAGCGAGATTCCCTTCTCAGAGACTACAGATCTGACTTTTACCTGTAACTGTGAATCTCTTATTTTATGATTTTGATCTGAAAGGTACAGTTTGTAAAAATAGTTCCTGAAAGAGTTTGCGTTTTAATGTTTATGTGAGAAAATACCTACAAATGCATATAGTTTACCACTTGGCTGCATCATAGTCAGTCTACAAATGGTCTATTTTTATATCCATTCGGCCAATTTTGTATTTTATTCTGACGTTTTGTATGTGAAGGTGCATGATGCGCTGCCCTTTGAGAATATGTTGGCTGACTCTTATATTCCAATGTGTTTTCACACAGTAAAGAAGATTGTGTTCTATTGCGGGCATCAAATAATAAAAAATCTCTTTATGCAGCCCACTTCATCTCATCTCTGAGTTCAAAGGTGAGTTCATCTGAGAGTTTCCTTGCGGTTTCAAGTAATTGGGAGCTTATTTTATGATTTTGATCTGTATGGTACAGTTTGTAAAAATAGTTCCTGAAAGAATTTGTGCTTTAATGTTTATGTGCAAAATTTGAGAAAATACCTACAAATTTATATAATTTCCAACTTGGCTGCATTGTAGTCAGTCTATAAATGGTCTATTTTTGTGTCCTTTAAGTGCATTTTGTACTTTAAGATGCATGACATGCTGCCCTTTGAGAATATCTTGGCTGACTCTCTTATATTCAAATGTGTTTTCACATAGTAAATAAGATTGTGTTCAATTGTGGCCGTCAAATAATCAAAAAAATCTCTTTAATCTCTTTTCATCTCCGAGTTCAAAGGTGAGTACATCTGAGAGCTTCCTCTTATTTTATTATTTTGATCCGAATGTTTTTTTTTAAATAGTTCCAGAAAGAATAATGTTCAAAATCTGAGAAAATACAAAAAGTCTACAAATGGTCTATATTTGCATCCTTTAAGCCCATTTTGTATTTCATTCTGACATTGTGTGTGAAGATGCATGACATGCTGCCCTTTGAGTCTATGTTGGCTGAATCTCTTATCTTCTGTGTTTTCAAGTAATTGTGGCCATCAATAAAAAATCTTTACGCAGCCCACTTCATCTCATCTCTAAGTTCAGAGGTGTGTTCATCTGAGAGTTTCCTCTAGGTCTTGCGGGTTTGGAGTAATTGGGATCACATTGTGCCATTACGTGCCTCATAGAGGCTCTAATTGAGGTGCAGGTCTTGATATCTGCCTGGGTTTTTTTTTTTTTTTCCCCCCACTTTGCTGGAACCAGTTCGATTGGCAAGAAATTGTAGGCCGCTGCCTCCAGAGTCGGATGCCCACGCAGTGATTGATGGCTGACTCTCAGGTTGGGCTGCCTGTCATCATTAGCGGTGACGGGAATATAATTGCTGTAGTGCAGCCTCACCTTTCCTACCCCCTTCTTATCTAACTTGCCACAAGTCTGTCGAGCTCTTTTCCCGGCAGGGTAATACAGGATCGAGTGAAGGATAATAGAATAATGCCTTACTTGCACACACTTGTAGCTAAAAATAGTGTATCAGAATGCAACTTTTAGCATTTTCTTTTAACAACCAATACTTTGTGAGTTTAGTGGTACTAATGAAGTCCACAGGGGTTTCTCTTTGTTAAATTAGGCCGTATATCAATAGTGCTCGAGACATTGAAGAAAATTGAGATTATTGCTTTCATAATACGCAGATGGATTTTTGCACAGAGCTGATTTTCTTCTTGTGATGAGAAAGTACCTGCCTAGGATGTAAATATGAATGTTAAGATTATGATGATTAATGGTTCAATGACATTTTTTATAATATATTCAAAAATGCATTCAAATAGAATATTCAAATAGCATATATATATATTTTATTTATTTATTTTTTACTTTATGATAGGATAGTTTAAAAGTATAAATGCATTATCCCATTTCATTAAAATGCAAAAAAAAAAATAATAATCTGTATTGAAATTCTTAAAAAGAAAAGTTCAAATAGTTTGGAATAATTATTTCCTAGGAAGAAAGGGGAATCAGTCAAAAAAAAAATTGTGTGATGAAATTGTCTTGATATCATAATTAATAATAAAAAAGGCTGCATTTGAAGACTGAAATTCTTAAAAAGAAACATAGGCATAATTATTTCTTAGGAATCGGACAAAAAAAAAATGTAATAAAAGAGCAAAAAACGGAAATCATGCAATTTATTGAACCTTTTCCAGTAAGTATTCTCAAGCATTAAAATTTCATGTGGTATGACTCCTCAAATGTACATTTATATATTTATTTATTTAAAATTATTAAATTCAAAAGTGTGGTGCATCAACCGCAAGTGCACAAACTTGTACATTACTACAATATAACGCGTGTAATTACACGAGATGTTTCAGTGCAAGAGATGCATATAAAGGTAAAATGATATACATATATGAAACAGAGATTCTTGTTGGGACCAGTTTGTGAGAGTGTTTGTTCCACTGACCTTGTTTTACCATATGGAGCTGTTGATTCTCACTTGATGTCCAGTTAGTTTGTCCAGATGGATTCATGGGTGACATGCCCACTTCATGTCCCAGAAATCCACTTCCCCAGTAACGCGACCAACGGTCCGTAATCCTGAAAGATGTTATAAAGTGTGTGTTTTAGCTCAAGCCCATGAACCTAACTTCTTTGCGAAGGTCATGCAGGAATAATTCATTCAAAACTTACTGAACTTATCCATTAATGTAATCTACTGTATCTGACATAACGATAAACAAGAGACAAGATGTTCTTAATTTTCAGCCCACTAATGATATATTAAAAGCATATTTCTTGCAGACAGAGATGTATTGCCAGCTCCTCCTGAATGTGACAATGAGAAAAGGCTTTGAATTATGTATGGAGCACTTATGATCCAACAGATCTACAATGTGCCAACCTGTGTGTGTTCAATTGAATTTGTTCAATCCCATATGCCTCTTAGAATTCATCAGTGCTTCAGGTCTTAGATTTCTGACACTAAATTTAGATCTAGAAAGACTTAATACATATCAAACGTTTGGGGACAGTGAAATTAATTGTTGTAGAAGAAGTCTTCAATGTTTTTTTTTTTCAAAGTTCTTTAAAGAAGTTTCTTATGCTCATCAAGGCTGCATATGTTGATCAAAAATACAGTAACAACTTTAATATTGTAAAATATTATTATAATTTAAAATAAATTTTCTATTTTAGTACATTTTAAAATATAATTTATTCCTGTGATTTTTTTGGCATCATTACTCCAGTCTTCAGTGTCACATGATACTTCAAAAATCATTCTAATATGCTTATTTTTTTTTATCAGTGCTGGAAACATTTGTGCTGCTTAATTTTTTTTTTAAATTTGTATATATATATATATATATATATATATATATATATATATATATATTTTT